TAAGCTGTGGTTGTTGTTCTGGGAGCGGATGGTGCCTGCATACCCTACCGACGATTGAATTTTAGGGCGGACAAAAATGTATGAGAATGCATGAACACGCAATTCAAGCGCAGGCGCAACCTTCTTCAAAATGCGCGTATATGCGGCTGAACGACCGTGCAATGAGTTCGCGAGCATCAAAATGAAAATAAGAATGAGAGCGCAAAAATCCGAACGCAAACGAAGTGTCCGGGGCCTGCCGCTTAGAGCTCGGGGTCCTGCCGCTTAGAGCCCGGGGTCCTGCCGCTACAGAATTTTTGTGTCCATTTTCGTTGTATGAAATGACCAGTCTATATGTTGTATGGATAGTGCTGTTACTATAAGATTTGATACACTTATTGTTAGTATCTGAAAGGAGAATATTCAGTAAATAAAGAGCAAAGCAATTTAAAAAAAGATATTTTAATTGCTGCAATTATTAAGGCAAATCAATTATAAGAACAAATAGAAAATTTAGATGATGGCGATGAGTTCGGAGAAGAGTTGGAAAAGCTTTTAATAATAACCAAGGCAAAAATAATGTCGCTTATCTCAGCCTTGAAGACCGCAAGCGAAACCAAAATATTAGGATCAGCTTTGTAGCCCCAACTCGAGCTCGACTTCCGAATTTGGCATTGCCGAAATTCAGCGGCCAATATTGGGAAATTAAGAATTTCATTACCCTTTTCGAAACACTCGTTCATCAAGACGGCAGCATTCCCGTTATTAAACAATTTAATCACTTAATTTCCTGCATTTCTGGTGAAGCTTTGGGAACTATTAAGGCCTACCAATTCACCGAGAGCAATTATGAAAAGGCTTTGGCCAGCCTGAAAAAAGTGTATAATAACGAATGTTTAATTTTTATGAATAATAGTTCAACATTGTTTAGTCTTCCGAGAATAACGCAATCGTCAGCGTCGTCTTAAGAAATATTATCGACACCGTATCATCTATATACGGTTCTTTGTTATCGATAGGAGACGACACCAAGATTTCGAATGCAATGTTGATCTATCTTGTTTAAAACAGAGTGACCAAACAAAACTGGGAAGAACAGTTAGCATTTGATTTTTTTCTAAGTGAATAATAATTAATTTGTTCAAACTTGGAGGGTAATTTATTTCTATTTTGAACTACACTTTCAAATTTTGGTAAGTCATTTGCGCCGGAATTGGGGGAGTTAGAGGCTGATGATCATTGACGATCGCGAGCAGAGTTGACCCCTTGTGGGCAACCTGGAGGTCGCAGTTTTGATCTGAAATCATTAATTTTTTATTCTTTGATACTAACATATTTTTTAAGAATATGAACCAAACTCTGACCGAAATATTTGAAAATTTAGTGTTTTGGAGGTGTTTGAACAAAATGTCATGTTTTTATATCATTTTTTCACCTTTCTTACATAAAAAAATATATTTTACTTAATAATATCATTCCAAAGTTTGGTTCATATTTTTCGGACTTGAATAAGGAATATTCACATCAATTTTCAGTTTGATTTGTCAATAAGATTCCGAGCTAGTTGAAAAAAAGTTGTATCGAGAAAAACGCATTTTAAAAATCCATGCGCTTGGGTCTAACGACCGCGCCCCTCGGCCTGAGTGCTCATATTATCGGAACTAATTGGAATTCCGTTTTGAAACTTGAGCAACATATTCTTGAATAGTTGTTCTAACAATTTATGCAATAAAAAAAATCGATTTTTGGAACCATCTAAACTGGTTTTCCCCCTTAAAGCATTATACGAAGTATTGTAGCCATACATTCCAATCTGTTTTATCAACTGAGATGTATGATCGGATGAACTCATTAAGTGTTCTGTGGCTTCGCTCCACGGTACCTACAGTCTGGTGATGATGTGCGGTAGAAGTTATGTTTTTCATATTCAAAATTCAATCACTTAATTTCTTGTCTTTCTGGTGAAGCTTTGGGAACTATTAAGGCCTACCAAGTCACCGAGAGAAATTATGAAAAGGCTATGATCAGACTGAAAAAAGGGTATGATATCGAATGTTTAATTTTTATGAATAATATTTCAACATTGTTTAGTCTTCCGAAAATAACGCAACAGTCAGCGTCGTCTTTAAGAAATGTTATCGACACCGTATCATCTATATACGGTTTTTGTTATTAATAGGAGCATAGTAGACCCAGTGACCAAACAAAAATGGGAAGAACAATTAGATTATGAAAGGTTACCGCTTTGGTCCGATTTTGAAAAAATGTTAAACCGCCGATACCAGCATTTATCCGCTGAAGAATCGACGAAACCAAAGCAAGATAAAGTTATGTCTAGCAAGCCACATAATCGTAGCTCATTTTCTTGTTCTTCGTCCAACAGTAAATCCCAGCAAAGTTGTAGCTATTGCAATGCAGGAGACCATATCCTAGCGAACTGTGGTCCGTTTGGTCGGCTTTCGGTAATTCAAAGGTTCGACTTTGTAAAATCTGCTTCCTTATGCATCAATTGTATGCGAAAGGGTCACACTGTTTCGAAATGCAAATTTAATAAATGTCGAGTTTGTGGCCGGTCGCATCACGTTTTACTGTATAGATATAAAGTGTCCGAAAATAGTTTAGCGTTGCCACCACCCCAAGAAATTCTTTCTCCATCTTTAAATCAAGATCAGCCTTCCACGTCACATGATATGCATGCGACATCATTGGACAGAGTGATTTTAGCCACGTCGTAAGGGTAAGAACTAAAAACGGTGAATATATTTGGGCTCGAGCACTACTTGACTCTGGGTCCCAAACTAATTTTATAACAGAGGACCTTGCTCACCGCTTACAGATCCGTAAAGAGGAGTGGTGTATCAATTTACTTGGTATTGGCGAGTCCAATTCTCAAGTTAAGAAAAAGGTACACACAGTGGTGAAGTCGCATATAAATGGTAGTGAGTTTTCTTTCGATTTTTGGATTATAAAATCAATATCAGGATACCATCCTGACTAGTCAGTCAATATCAGTGACTGGAAAATTCCAAAGAACCTACCACTAGCAGACCCCTATTTCTACAAGCCACAAAGAATAGATATGTTAATAGGAGCAGAATCATTTTTCGAACTTTTAGCTGTTGGACAAATTAGACAAGGTCCTGACTTTCCAACTCTGCAGATCGGTTGTGTTGTATCGGGTAGAAATAAGGCATCTTCCCCTGTGAAAAGTTTCAGTTGTAGTGAAGAGGTTTTAGTATCAGTTGACAGCACTCTACAGAAGTTTTGATCACTGGAAGAAATGCCATCTCTAAAGAAAATTCTATCACCTTAGCAAAAGTTATGTGAAGAACACTACCGGAAGACTACTCAGGTTGTGCCATCAGGTCGGTTTGAAGTAAGACTGCCGTTTAAATCTGATCCAAATGAGTTAGGCAACTCTTTTGAAGTTGCAAAACGGCGGTTTTTGTCGCTTGAAAGAAGGCTGTCTCGAGACCCTGAGATGAAGAAAATATACTTAGAATTTATGGAGGAGTACCTTTCCTTAGGTCATATGTCTCCTACAGATACTCTTTCTTCTGCTCCACATTATGTTATCCCACATCAATGTGTTCTGAGACCCCAAAGTACGTCAACCAAGTTACGTGTCGTTTTTGATGCTTCTTGTAAATCGTCAATTTAGAAGTCTCTAAATGATATTTTGATGGCTGGGAGGACAATCCAAGATCTCTTTTACTCAACGTTACTGCGCTTTCGGCTGCATACGTTCGCCCTGACCGCCGATGTAAAGAAAATGTATCGCCAAGTGATGGTGAATGAAGCAGATAGGCAGTTTCAACTTATAGTGCGGAGAAGAGACCCCTCTGAGTCCTTGAGATTATACAAGCTCAACACCGTAACATATGGTACAGGACCAGCCGCTAAAGTGATTGGATCCGACTTTTATGTCGATGATATGTTGACTGGTGCTGCATGCGTAGAGGAGTTAAAGACTATTAAGTCTGAAGTATCTCAGGTTCTTCAAACTGCAGGTTTTGAATTGACAAAGTGGCTTTCAAACTCACCAAATCCATACCCATCTCGGACTCAGAGTCAACTAAGGCGTTAGGAATATCGTGGTTGCCTAACGAAGATGCCTTCAAGTTCCAAATTGACACTGCTGTCATGGGTCTCCGAGCGACAAAACGGAAACATCATGGAATATGACAAAAATGACACTGTCCAAATTAGGAGAAATATCTATTCTATGGTTTGTGCATACCGATCCAATATCACCGGTCCAATTACATGTCTTTGCCGACGCATCTTTAAGAGCTTATGGAGCTTATGTGCCGCTCACCTTCTCTCAGATCTCTGCCACACAATCAAGCCCCTATTAAGGTACCTATCGAAAGAATTGTTTATTGGTCGGATTCTGAAGTTACGCTTCATTGAATCCGGTCTCATCCATCTTCATTGTCCACATTCATATCGAATAGAGATGAGTCAGGTGAAGCTCGATGGCGGCATGTTCCAACGAAAGAGAACTCAGCAGATATTGTATCAAGAGGTTGTGACGTCGAAGAAATCAGAGAGTCGATTTGGTTTACTGGACCATCGTATTTGAAAGAGGAAGATGAAAACTAGCCCAAAATAAACTCTTAATATTTTCATCACACCTTAAACTGCTCCGGGTATTCGTTTATATGCTCCGCTTCATAAGAAAATGAAAAGACAAAAGTATAGTATTTGAAAAACTGAAAGCTTTTCTAAAAATTGTCGAGATATTACAGAAGCACGACTATAATGAAGAAAGGAAAAAAATTCGTAAAGGCTCCAGAGTTGGCCCAAGTCTTCAGCGATTGAATACATTCATCCAAGAAGCCAAAGGGACTTGGTGTGAATTTTCGTTGTTGCGAGTTGGGGGCACCTAGCTAATGCTCCTATATCATATGATGCCAGGAGGTCTGCAGTCATATCGAACTATCATCATGCATACGCTGCTTTAAGTGCAAGCCTCGACTATTGACATAAATTTCGTGCAATAGAAAGACAACTTATGGTAAAGTTTAAAGCAGATAGCTTTTATTAGATATATATTTCAAAATACATTTCAAAGGGCATTTGTGGCTGTGTACCTTATTTTTTGCTGCGTGTGTAATTAAAAAAAAAACAAATAATTTCCAATACACAACTTGGGGAGTTGTAATTAAAAGGTGCCACGATGAAAATCTGGCTTGCCAAACTTGTTTTTATCAAGAATTTCAGAAATCTCTTTCGCCAATTGAGTAAAAAGATTTGAGTATTCGCTGTCAGGATACTTTATCACAATTGGAACACCACTCTCGCTGCACTCAGCTATATGTGAGTGCAACGGTAGGGAAATAAGCGTACGAGGTAACAAGTTCATTGAGATGTCTTTAAAAAACTCTAGTCTTTGATTACAGTTTTCACAAATGGAGTACTTCATGTTTTCCACTACACCAAAGATGGGGACATTTAATTTTTCGTACATCTTTGCACCTCTCACGGTTACCTGAACGGCAGCAGTATGAGGAGTGGTTACCAGGATAACACCCGTGATGGGTGCGTGCTGGGATAGCGAAAGATGCACATCCCCAGTTCCCGGTGGAGTATCTATGACCAAGATATCTAACGGTCCCCATTCCGCACCCTTTAAAAGCCGTTGTACAGCTGACATGACGAGAGGACCGCGCCAGATCATTGAGTCTTTCGGAGTAGTGAGCATACCCATGGACAAGCATTTAACATTGTAATTTTGCGGCGGAATCAGTAGATTCCGATCGTTTACATCCGGTTCACTATGGACATTCAATAGAAGGGGTACAGTCGGCCCAAATATATCCCCGTCCAGCAATCCAACTCGTTTCCCCAGTCTGGCCATGCTGCATGCAAAATTTGCTGTGAGGAAAGAACTAGCATCACCACTTCTCAGAATGACTTTCCGTTTAGCCCACCTGCAATGGTGCTTTTGCCAACTCCCCCCTTCCCAGAAGCGACGACTATAATGTCCTGCACTCCTTTAATCGGTTCCTTTTTAGGCAATCCACGGGCAATCAAAGACGTCTGGCGCTCACTCAATTTGGTAACGTAAGAGCGCCGGACGATGGTGATCAATGGGCGTAGCATGGTTATATGATTAGATTAATCTGAAATAAAATAAATGTCTTGCAGTAGCAAGTGTGGCCTTTAAAGCGACCCTGTTCTTACTTTCTACATATGTACTTACGACAACTTAATCCCGCTTATACCGAATTCTCACAGAGGACTATCAAGCCAATGGTGTCATTTACGCTTTTTTCCCGTCAGATTATTTTTATTTTAAAGCCAAGTACTTAGATTGACAAACGAGTTAGCTAGCGTGAAAACATTAATCTTTCCAGTGTGCCCAAAATTTCGAGAGTTCATCAGAATTAAACGTAAAACGGTCGTACTGTCAATCAGCTGGCTTTGTTGACAAGCAGTTAAAATTCAAATATCGTATTTGCGGGAAAGAGCCTTCAAAAGATATTATCAACTACCTTGGCAAGACAAGTCTGCCGCTGTACAAAGAAATACAAAAACAATACAATTTATATTTAACAATTGTTTTTTTTTTAATTAACTGATAATTATTTGCTAATTTAAAGTTCTTAGCTGCACTTTTATTGTGTTTTTTCGTACATTTTTAACCTAAGAAACATTTTGCTCTGACAACAGGCACCCCAGATAGTACTAGTGTTATTTTGTCCGCATATGTAATCTCCTGCAATCGACTTTTGCGTGTTTTTTGATTTTTTTCCCTTCACTTCTTCAAATGTTCAGTGAGAAGCGCACGCCAAAAGATTCCATTTTTTAATCTATTAGCCTAGTACTCAGATCGACAAACGAGTACGCTAGCGTAAAAACTTGAATCTTTACAGTGTACCCAAAATTTCGAGAGTTCATCGGAATTAAGCGTGCTACGGTCGTACTGTCAGTCAGCTGGATTTGTTGACAAACAGTTAAAATTCAAATATCGTATTTTCGGGAGAGAGCCTTTAAACGATATTATCAACTACCTTGGCAAGACAAAACTGGCGCTGTACAAAGAATTTAAAAAACAATAAAATTTAAATTCAACAGTGTTTTTTTTTTAAATTTACTGATAATTATTTGCTAATTTAAAGTTCATAGCTGCACTTTTATTGTGTTTTTTCGTAAATTTTTGATCTAAGAAACATTTTTCTGTGACAAGAGGCACCCCAGATGGTATTATTGTTATTTTGTCCTCACATGTAAACTCCTGCAATCGACTTTTGCTAGTTTTTTATTTTTTCCCTCCATTTATTAAAATGTTCAGTGAGAAGCGCATGCCAAAAGATTAAATTTTTTATTCTTTCCGCTAGCGTTCACCCAAAGTTAATTTCCGCAGACTGGCAATTTCTGGAATTTTGTTCGTCGATCTGAGGACCGAGGTGAAAAAATGGCCCGACGAAAAGTGACTGGCGTACGGTTTTCGTCGATCTGAGTACTAGGCTATAGTATAAAGTATGTTCTTACATTATGCCTTTGATGATCTACCACTTCCTGATCCATGCTGAATTTTTTTGCCCTACACTTGGTATTGGTGTTTTATTCAAATTCAATAGGTGTGAACCTAGGCAATTACATCTGGTTCTTTAAAAACACAAATTAAATACCAACAGAATTTCAAACTATTTACAGCATACTAATCGCAACAGCAATTTGTAGCGAACTTTGGCTTATCTCTTCCAAGCAAAAATATATTTAAGTAAGAAATGGGAGAAGTCAAGGAATTTGGTCTCCGTTGCAGTAACTCCGCCTGTGTGAATAAGATTTTTCATCATGTACTCATTGGGATTAGGGTATTAGGCAGTGAAAAGAAATTCCTTGAAACTAATATTTGGTATTATGGTATTTACTTTTGGTACGGAAGATATATTTTCGAAAAAGGGACGGTAACTCTGCCCTCGACAACGTGTCTCATAATTGCATTCTATTGCTATTAAGTTTTTGTAATGAGATAAAAAACTATTATGAGCCTTTTAATTAACAGGACATAGCTTATATAAGGTTTTTTTTCGACTTGTCTAAATTCGTTTTGTTTTGAAATATATTTTACTGGCTCTCTGTTTACTCTTAGCAAAATGTCCGTATTGACAAGCACAACAGGTGTAACATCCATTTTAAAGACGTTTTCTGGTGAAGAACGCCATCGAGCCAAAACAGTGGCTGCTAACAAAGTTAGATTTTCCACTCCTAAAGAGAAAGGCCTCGCAGAATCCGTGCGCGTGGCTGTAGAGGAAGGAAATTTTTATTTGGTGAAGGAGTTCACCTTTTTTCTGTGGGAAGCAGAACTTGACGTATGTTTGTCAAGCATGCTCTTTTTTTGTAATTAATTAATACTTTTTTTTAAGGATGACGAAGTAGTGTTAATATTAAAAGATGCTAAAAGAATTGTTCACAATTTGACATTAGATTTTGTTAACGTTGTCGAGGCTTTGCTGTCTCTCAACTGGAAGACCCGCACTCCCGAGATAATCGAAGCTTATACTGAGTTTTGGATTGACATAATGGTGGCTCACAATAGATATTTACCCATAGGAGTATCTAAATTAATTAACCACTGGATTCCGGGTGACTTGGACGCATCAGACTGGGTCAATGGATGCCCTTTGGAATGTACTCGCTGTCAATTAAAACCCACTCATGATGTACTTAATCGTATTTTAACTGCTGTGCCTATGGCTTTTGATGTAGTCATGGATGTCATTTCCACTAAATTTCCATATTTTAAAAAGCCAGCTCATGTTACCGCGGGATATCTTTTTAATGTGCTCTGGCTTATCGAGTACAAGCCCATATTTGAGGAACTGATCTTGCAGTTGGTTTTGCAAAAGTAAGTATTCAATAAATGTTTTGTTGTCGTATGATCTTCGGCATGGATATCGAAAAATTTGTTAATTCAAACTATTTTAAAGAAAGTTACCGCTAATGAGTGGTGTATTGATGTATTTTGTATTTCTAATTCATCCGAAATCTTTATGCTCTTCAGACTTTTAGTATTAGACGTTAACGCCCCACGAGATCAAATCGACGTGGAAACAGATGATGCAGATGACAAATTGGAAGCTGATAGAATGTTTCAAATCGACGATGTATCGGGGGACAATTTAATTAATGCCGGACAGACGGTGAAACATCCAGTCGGCCAAACCTTAGATATATGTCTCCTCATGCTTTATAAGTTCATTGATAGCAAATGTCGCATTAATCAAAACAGCAGCGATCAACATCGCTGGACTGCTAATCGCTTATTTAAGATGCTACTGTATATATTCGACGAGGTTCTGTTACCCAGCCATAATACCCATCATGTGCAATTTGTCTTATTTCATGTGACTAGTATACGGTCGGCATATTCTGAGGCTTTTCTTAATTTACTTTGGAAAAAAGCTCAAAATCCAAATGTGGCTGCAATTATTCGCCATGCTGCGGTGGGGTATATGGCAAGCTTTTTAGCCCGCGGAAAGTTTTTGCCACTTAGGTAAGAAAATGTAAGACCAAATCAAAATAAAAATTATGCACTAAAATATGCATTCCTTTTTTATAGCACTGTAGTGTTCTACTTAAAACAGTTTAGCAAGTGGATTCATACCTACATAGACGAATCGGATGAAAATAACCAGACTTGCTCATTGAAGGCCAATTTGGTCTTCTACTCTGTTTGTCAAGCAGTGTTCTATTTAATTGCTTTTCGTGCAACAGATTTGACTGCCAGTTCAAAAGGTATGTTTAAAAATATTTTTTATTCTTAAACAACATTTTTTTATTTTGTTAATGCTAACCAAAACATTGATGGTCACCGCATCATTTAGTTTAAAACCGGTACATAGGCTTCCCAATTTATTTTTATAAAAAACAAGAAAGGAAGCAAACTGCGGAAAGCTGAAGTTTATATACCCTCTCAGTTATAAAAAAACGACTACATTTTGATTTCTATGCCTATATTACTAAAAGCAATTAAGCTATGTCGATTTTGCGGTTCATTTTGCCACCGTTTCTTTTGAAAAAACTAAACACGTAATTCTGATATAGTAAATATTTACTATTTATTTTAATAAATGAAAAAAACAGCAAAATAAAATTTCTTTCGTTTTTATTTTTTTTAATTATTTGATTTCCCCATGGTAGCTACAGTGGTGCTCAAAGACTTAAGCCACTGCCACTACCATAAATTGTTTTCTTAATAACTTTTTTGAACTTATTTATTTCGGCCTGAAATTTTTACATTTTGCAACACTGTTATTTAAGTAGCTGATCACAGTAAAAAATGACAAGTAGGAATTCGGGGGTTCCCAAAAAATCAAATTGCATTAGTTAAAGGACAAGATTCCTCAGGTAACGCTGTCAAGCTTTTTTTCTCTCGATTTTTTTTTTAAAGTTAAAAACCCCGATTTTCGCCCAAAACTTCAAGATATTTGTTATAAAAATAATATAATATAATAATATATAAATTTTCAAAAAAAAGAACTCGACAGCGTTACCTGAGGAATTTAGTAGAGAAATACTGTGCAAAATCTCAAAACGATCCGTCCGATAGATTTTGCAGGATCGTGTACACCGACTTTGAAATGGCCAATTTTCAGGAGAGCGTTTTAAAGTTTTGGACACCCAAAAATTGAATATAAAACGCGCTTACTTACCTACGTTAAACTGCCCATAAGTTCGGAAGTTTAACTCGGATCGATCTAAAATTTTAATTTTTTTAAATTTTAATTTAATTCTTGAGATGTTGTGCATTCAGAAAATAAACAAGAGAGAACGCTATAGTCGGGTGCCCCGACTATCAGATACCCGTTACTCTGGTAAAGGGAGTGCGAGGGATATGGAGATAGAAACTTTGATCACGCATAACTTTTTAACGAATGGTCCGATTTGAAAAATTTCTTCTACATTTCGATAGGTATTGATAAACACAATAAAACTGCATTTTTACTTTTCCGAAATATTTAAATTTTTATAATCGCATATAAGCGATTGTGGGCGTTAAAGGGGGCGTGGCACCATTTTGAAACAAACTTGCGCTGCGTAGGAACTTCTAAAATCTACATGCAAAATACCAATCTTCTAACTTTTATAGTTTCCGAGATCTCAGCGTTCATACGGACAGACAGACAGACAGACAGACGGACAGACAGACGGACAGACGGAGAGACGGACAGACGGACATGGCTAGATCGACTCGGCTAGTGATCCTGAACAAGAATATATATACTTTATAGGGTCGGAAACGCTTCCTTCTAGCTGTTACATACTTTTGCACGAATACAATATACCCTTTTACTCTACGAGTAACGGGTATAAAAATAAAAATAAAAATACAAAAAAAATTTTTAATACTATACCCACATTGAGCTAAAATCGTCAAACTTGTGTTTTTAAAGGAAAGTTGTGCTAGCTATTTTCTAAACTAAAATATTGAATACTAAATACGTTTCCCAAAACAATTTGACCGCTATGGCTAAAAATAAAAATACAAATCCGGCCGAAAGAAAGCTAATATGGGAATATTACGAAAAAAACACAAGTATTCTACAAATTTTTAAGACGGATTGCCAAAATCAGTAAAGCCAAATGGTGGCAGATTATGGCCTGTATGTGTCAGACCATAAAAAGACATCTTAATGAATTCGTGCTCTCTTTATTCGATTTAATTCGTGATCTCGAGCTCTTACTTTTTTCGTGTTTTGTCCCCTTGTGGTTTTTGGATTTGATCCCAGTGCCAAATTTACTTTGAGGTATTTTTCATATTCTTATTTTTTTTATTTGCTTTAATTAAAGAAAAATTGTACTCTTGCGTCTTCAACTAAAGATCCTTTTACTTTTTGCTGGCTCTGCGATTCGATGATGCACGTTAAATGTGCAGGATTTACTGGCATAGTCAAAGATTTCATTGATCTTAATTCTGGTCTCATGTGGTCATGTGGGTCCTGCAAGGAAATGGTAGTTGAGATGAGCGGCTTTATGAAGCAGACTCCAGACAGAATATTGAATATCTCAGGAGCTTTTAAACAACTCAATGAGGGGTTCAACTCCGTCTGTGCCCAGTTTAATAATAAAAAATTATTAACCGAGTCGCCTAAACGTAAAAAAGCCAGTTTAACACCCGTTAATATGATTGTGGAATCCACCCCAAATCCGAACTTGGTAGCAGCAGTTTCTGTTGACATAGGGGTAAATAAACCAACTGTGCCTATGGATACAGCTAGTTCGGGTGGAGTCCCTGTTTCCAGAAGAAAATCTACAGTACTGGCTAAGTCAAAAATTTCCATCCGAGGATATTGCAGTTGAACAATTTCGATTTTCATACGCTCGTAGGATATCGTCTTTTAAAATATTTGCTCCGCCTGATGTGTTTAATGTGTTACTTTCTAATTAAAGAATTTCTTCCAAATAAACCGAGAACAATAACAGGCCTTCCACTGTGCCAAAAAACTAAAAAGTTTATTCTTGGCGTATCAATATGTTAGCGGACTAAATAAGAAGCTACACAAGCTTTATGCTGATTCCTCTGCATTCACCGAAGATATTTGGGCTTTTACGGAAACTTGGCTAAAACCAGAGATATCTGACTCCGAAGTTCTGTCAAATAACTTTAATACTTATAGGACCGATCGCCCCTCACATAGGGGGGGGCGGTGTACTGATTGCCGTTACCTCTAGCCTAACATCCGAAAGAATTCTCACTCATATCCCTAACGAAATTGAATATCTAAGTTGGAAAGTTTCCTTGCAATCTTTATCTATTTTTGTTACATGTTCTTATATTCCACCTGGCTCTGATCTAGTAATTTATGAGCACCATCTGTCGGCAATAAAATCCGTACTATCCCTTCTTTCTAACAGAGACCTTTTGATTATTTTGGGTGACTTTAATCTACCTGGTATTTCTTGGTCTCCTCCCACTGACTCACTTGTCGCTATACCTTTATCCGCCCATGATTTTGTAGATGGCCTTTTAGAATTATCGTTACAGCAAGTAAGCTTTATACGAAGTTCTTTAAATAGACAATTAGATCTTGTGTTTGTTTCAGACCCGTCCGAGGTTACGGTATGTAGAATTGACGCTCTTGTTGTACCTGAAGACCGATATCATCCAACAATGGAATTGACAATTTGCCTCCCCTGCTCTGATACCCTCTCTCCTTTAGTGCCCCCAACTAAAATGAGATGTTTTCGTAAATGTGACTATAATAAACTTAACGATATGATTTCTCATTATAATTGGACAGACTTGTACAATTGTACAGACATTGAAAGTGCCACTGAACTATTCTATAAAGCGTTAAATACTTTTTTTAATGAATGCGTTCCTGATAGGTTTCCTTTAAACCTAAACAGGCCTCCTTGGTTTACCAATGCGCTTCAAAGACTTAAAAACCTTAAATCAAATACTTATAAAAAGTATAAAAAATCGAGTAAGCCATCAGATTTTTCGAAATATGTAGTGGCTCGATCGGATTTTAATGTTCTCAACAGTCATTGCTATTCTATGTATCTAAATCGATGTAAATTTGAATTTTTTAAATGATCCGAAACAGTTTTTCAACTTTGTTAATGCCAAGCGTAAGTCATCGGCATTGCCTTCATCGGTACGTCTAAACTCAACGAAGGCATCGACGGATTCTGACATTGCTGATTTTTCCAAACCACTTATAGTTCGACAGCTTGGTCAAATTCTAACTACCCTAATCCCATAAATAGGGCAAATTGTATTTTTACCCCTTTAATTACTGAAAACTCTCTCTAAATAGATTTAGAAACAACAACGTCGACTTATTCTCCCGGTCCAGATGGACTTCCTGGATGTGCGGTCATGTTTTGTGCGTCAACCATTTGTAAACCGATTCTTAAACATTTTAATTTGTCTATTTCATCATCAGTTTTTCCTACTATCTGGAAGGACTCTTTTATTATTCCACTTCATAAAAAGGGTGCGAAGGCTGATGCCAAGAATTATAGAGGTATTTCCAAATTGTCGGCAATTCCTAAAGCATTTGAACGTATTATCACTTCTCATTTGCAAAATTTATGTTCCTCGCTTATATCACCACGTCAGCATGGTTTTGTTAAGCGAAGATCGACCACCACCAACCTTCTTGAATTGTCATCTATTGTAATAAATGGATTTTAGAAAAAATGCAGACTGACGTTATATATACAGATTTTAGTAAGGCCTTTGACTCCGTCAACCACTCTCTTCTTTTATTCAAATTAGATCTGCTTGGGTTTCCTGGTAATCTATTAACTTGGATTTCAAGTTTCTTGAATGGTAGGACTCAGAGGGTTATATTTAAGAATTCTATTTCAAAATTGATCTACGTGACATCTGGAGTCCCTCAGGGAAGTAGTCTGGGCCCTTTGCTGTTTACTTTGTTTATCTATCATAACACATTCTCGTGTACTAATGTATGCTGATGATGTTAAGCTTTGTTTATCATATAATGATATAGCGTCGGGATTTAACTTACGGTCAGATATTGATTGATTTCATGGATGGTGTGAGTACAACCTTTTAATTTTGAACGGTCTTGAATGCAACGTTATGACCTTTTTTAGGGGTACTCCTACGTTTATTAGTTATATTCTTATTCAGTTAACGATTTAGGTGTTCTTCTGGACCCTAAACTTAAATTTGACTGCCACATAATGTCCACTGTTAACAAAGCCATGAGTGTTCTTGGCCAAAAGAATTTGATGACCCTTCTACGACCAAATTATTATTT